CTCTAACTCTACTCTGAACAGTATCCCCAGCATGGGCTGTGTGGAGTGTTGAACACAGGAACATGTCCTTTGTGTCTCACACCTGGACAAAGAGGAGGGAGTCCTTTCTGATCCATCGTATGCTGCCACAGGGAGATTTTGAGTCCAGACTATTTATTTAGATTTTTGGAAAACCAATTCTGTTTGTGCGTACAGTTCCGCATGCCCAGATCCTCTTCTGAAAGAGATCACAGAAAAGAGGGCGAGTAGTATAGAAATTGTTGAAAAAAAGTTTGTATCCTGTGCCAAGCAACCACGTGTCAACAAGCTCCATCACTGACTCATAACTGAGTCCCTTGCCACTGTTTCCCTGCAGTTTTCCTTCATACACAAAAAAATTCCATGTGTACCCATTGCTTGAGTCCGCCAGAACGAAAAGTTTATATCCCCAGCGAACAGGCTTATTTTTCATATATTGTTTTATCCCGATTCGTGCCTTCGAGGCAACCATTCACTCATCAATTGAAATTTCCTGGCCAGGGTGATAGTTTATTTTGCAGGCATCCCTCATCTCAGTGTATAGTGGCTTTATTTTGCAGAGACAATCTAATTCTGTTGTACCTTTTCTCTGCTAATTAGCAGCATCGTCCACCAAGCTACTGAGGTGATGGGAGTGGCAGATCCTAAGAAACTTCTTTCCGGCGAAAAGCTTTTTAGGGAACAGCAAGCTGTACAGTTTACCTCCTCGCCAGTAATCAGTTATTGCAGGGAGTTTTACTAAACCCATATAAATTACCATGGCCATGAATGCAAACATATCCTGTAATGTCACGTCAATCCACAGGTCAGAGGGCTTTGAATTGTTTGAGTGAAAGTCATTGGTGGTTTTAATTATTGTCAATAACATGGAGTTCGTAAAAACAAGTTGGAAAAGCTGTAAAACTGTGTAGTTAGCTGTACGTATGAGCTGGGGTCCTGGTGATTTGGTGGGTCTGAATGTGGGCTGTGGTGGTGTCACTTCTGGAACATCAACACCATTCCATCTCTTCAGATGTGCTGGTTGACATCTCAGCTTGACTGCTGCTGCTGCCAGTTCTCCCTCTCCCTCTCCCTCTCCCGCTTTCTCTCCCTCTTCTCCTTCCCTGTCCTCTGCCTCTTCCTCTTCCCCTCCCCAGTCCTCTACCTCTTAGTCTTCTGCTGGCAGAATCTCTCTGGGAAGGTGAGGGATGGGGATCCTCTCCTGATGAGGTGTTGTCATCATGTCCCTTAGTATATGGCTTTTTGCTGACTGGCTCCCAGACTTCATCTGATTCAATGTCAGATGATTGTCTGTGATATAGAAAACAACACAGACATGACAGAAGTTAGCAGGAACACCTCAAAGCACAAACACATACCTCAATATATACAGTAAAATATAATATAAATAATGATATGTATAATATATATAAATATAATTATATAACACCTCAACACAAACACAGACCTCAATATATACAGTAAAATATGTATAATATATATAATTATAAGAATAATAAAAATAAATATAATTATATATTATAATAAAACACTTACTTGTAGAGAGTGACGTCTCCTCAATCCAAAACCAGCTCCTCTGCTACCGAGTCAATGGATGAAAAATCGCTCTCTTTGTCAGAAACGTCATCCTCAGACTCATCACTGTCATGCCGAGTACATTGTTCAACAACTTCTTTGAGCGAGAAGTTTGTTTTTCTCATTCTCTTTGCCATTTTTCACCTCTAACCATCTTTCACCCATAAACTCTCTCAAAACGCTCTTTACGTATGGACTCACAAGTCACTATAATCCTTTACGCATGGATTACTGTGTGTGACAGGTTGAATCGTCCCACTAAAGCGGCATATTAATCTTTTCAGAAGTTCATTGGCTATCAGATAAGACTGTCATTTGCAAACTCTGATGCAACTGGATCGATCTACTGTCCATCAAAGAGAGGGCGGCACCATCCTTCATCCTGGGATCTCCTTGGCTATTGCTGCCTATTGAAACTTCTTAGATGCACTTATTGGTTCAAATGAGGTGTCAATCTAAAGGGCAGATGTCAGTGGCCATTTTGACATCAGTAAATCCGTAATGTTTACAGGTGAAAAGAAGCAACACTTCAGAATACGCCGAAAGTTTGATTGGTCCATCTGGAGCGAATGTATCCGGTTCGTAGAGGGGAATGGCGCAGCAAGCGAGACACCGAGCAGTTCCTCTAGTTTTACTGGCTACTCGAGGCGAGTACACAAGGCAAGGTAAGGCAAGTTTATTTATGTAGCACATTTCATACACAATGGTAATTCAAAGTGCTTTACATAAAAGAAAGTAAAATAATCATAAAACCATAATCACAACAATAAAACAAGGAATTTAAAAACTTTGAAAATGATTTAAAAATTGATTTAAAATTAATATAAAACAGTTAAAAATAAAATGATTATACATAAAATACAGTGCAATCACTTCGGATTGCATAAAATACAGTGCAATATATAAAATACAGTGCAATCAGTTCGGACATCGCACAGTGCTCATTCAATACATGCACAGCTAAACAGATGAGTTTTAAATCTAGATTTAAATGTGACTAATGTTTTAGCACATCTGATCTCTTCTGGAAGCTGGTTCCAACTGCGGGTGGCAAAATAGCTAAAAGCGGACTCCCCTTGTTTTGTGTGAATCCTTGGTATTTCTAACTGACTCAATCATAATGATCTGATTGGTCTGTTAGGTTTATATTCAGTGAGCATATCTGCAATGTATTTAGGTCCTAGGCCATTGAGTGATTTTTAAACGAGTAAAAGTACTTTAAAATCAATCCTATATATAACTGGAAGCCAGTATAAGGACCTGAGGGCTGGTATGATATGCTCAGATTTTCTGGTTCTAGTCAGAATCCTGGCAGCAGCATTCTGGATGAGCTGCAGCTGTCTAATGGTCTTCTTGGGAAGGCCGCTGAGGAGACCATTACAATAGTCCACCCTGCTGGTAATAAAGGCATGAACAAGTTTCTCCAAGTCTTGACTGGAAACAAAACATCTGATTCTTGCAATGTTTTTGAGATGATAGTATGCTGATTTAGTTACTGCTTTGACATGACTACTTAAACTAAGGTGTGTCTCCAGAATCTTCTTTCTCATTATTTGACTTAGTGGGAGCATATACGGGCTAAACAAGAGCGGTGCAAGAATTGAGCCTTGTTGGGACTCCGCATGCCATGGACGTCCACTTAGACTTATGCGCTCCTATACTCACATAAAAACCTCTCCCTTCTAAATATGACCTGAACCAGTTGAGAACCATCCCAGAAAGCCTGACCCAGTTTTCCAGTCTCTCTAGAAGTATGTTATGATCGACAGTGTCAAATGCAGCACTGAGATCTAGTAGTACCAGCACTAATATTTTGCCAGAATCAGAATTTAAGTGAATATCTCTAAGTATGACCTGAACCATTTGATTACCATCCCAGAAAGCCCGACCCAGTTTTCCAGTCTCTCTAGTAGTATGTTATGATCGACAGTATCAGATGCAGCACTGAGATCTAGTAGTACCAGCACTAATATTTTGCCAGAATCAGAATTTAAGCGAATATCATTTATTATCTTAATGAGCGCTGTCTCTGTGCTGTGATGCGGTCGGAAACCAGATTGAAAATTGTCCAGGTATCCATTTGAGTTTAAATATTTGTTCAGCTGATTAAACACTACCTTTTAAGTAATCTTGCCTATAAAAGGAAGATTTGATATTGGTCTATAATTGCTCAATACGGTGTTATCAAGATTGCTCTTTTTCAGAAGGGGCTTAACAACTGCAGTTTTCAGGGAGTTTGGAAAAGTCCCAGAAAGAAGTGAGGCATTCACCACTTCTAAGAGATCTGCTTCTAAACAGTTAAGCACCCTTTTGAAAAAAAAATATGTGGGAAGTGTGTCAAGATAGCAGTTTGACGATTTAAGGTGCTGTACTATTTCTTTCAAAATGTTGCTATCAATTGCTTCAAAAACAGACGTAGTATCTTCTTTTTTATATTGCGGTCGAATCTCTCTGACCTCTGCATAACTTGAGGATGTGCTAATCACCTTCCTGATATTATTGATCTTCTCAGAAAAGAAGGAAGCAAACTCATTGCATTTGCTGTCGGAGAGCATTTCACTGGCAATCTGACTTGGGGGGTTTGTCAGTCTCTCAACAGTAGCAAAAAGAGTGTGAGTGTTGTTTAAGTTACTGTTTATAAGGTTTGAGAAGAAAGTCTGTCTATCTGTGGCTATTTCCACATTGAAAGCATGAAGGCTGTCTTTATAGATGCTATAGTGAATTTCAAGTTTCTTCTTCTGCCACATCCGCTCAGCTTTTCTGCATTGACTTTTTTGATACTCTGTACTGCTGTTGATTTTCTCCAAGCTGATTTTTGTCTGCCAGTCTTCTTGCTGACCTTTACAGGAGCAATATCATCAATAACATTCTTAAATTTTGAGTTAAAGGAATCAAGGAGAAGATCAACAGTGTCTGCATAAATGCTTGGTGTTAAAGATATAGCCTTCATAAATAGCACACTAGTGTTCTCTTTAATGCATCTCTTTCTGACAGAGACAGATCTAGATTCAGTGGTAGCAGAGATCAATATATCAAAGAAAATACAGAAGTGATCAGATAATACTACATCCTTAATAACAATGGGTGAAATGTTTAGACCGCTACTGATGAGTAAATCTAGAGTGTGTCCTCGACTGTGTGTGGGTCCATGCACATGCTGAATCAGGTCAAATGTGTTTAAAACAGTTATAATTTATTTTGTAGCTTTGATTTCTGCATTATGTATGTGAATATTAAAATACCCTGCTATAGCAAAACAGTCAAACTCTGAGGAAATAATTGATAACAGACAAGTACAGCCATGGCCAAAAGTTTTGAGAATGACACAAATATTAATTTTCACAAAGTCTGCTGCTACAGTGTATTTAGATATTTTTGTCAGATGCTACTATGTTATACTGAAGTATAATTACAAGAATCTCATGAGTGTCAAAGGCTTTTATTGACAATTACAATAAGTGTATGCAAAGACTCAATATTTGCAGTGTTGACCCTTCTTTTTCAAGACCTCTGCAATTCGCCCTGGCATGCTGTCAATCAACTTCTGGGCCACATTCTGACTGATGGCAGCCCATTCTTGCATAATCAATACTTGGAGTTTGTCAGAATTTGTGGGTTTTTGTTTGTCCACCCGCCTCCTGAGGATTGACCACAAGTTCTCAATGGGATTAAGGTCTGAGGAGTTTCCTGGCCATGGACCCAAAATTTCAATGTTTTGTTCCCTGAACCACTTAGTTATCACTTTTGCCTTATGGCAAGGTGCTCCAGCATGCTGTAAAAGGCATTGTTCATCACCAAACTGTTCTTAGATGGTTGGGAGAAGTTGCTCTCGGAGGATGTTTTTGTACCATTCTTTATTCATGGCTGTGTTCTTAGGCAAAATTGTGAGTGAGCCCACTCCCTTGGCTGAGAAGCAACCCCACACATGAATGGTCTCAGGATGATTTACCGTTGGCATGATACAGGACTGATGGTAGCGCTCACCTTTTCTTCTCCGAACAAGCTTTATTCCGGATGCCCCAAACAATCAGAAAGGGGATTCATCAGAGAAAATGACTTTACCCCAGTCCTCAGGAGTCCAATCCCTGTACCTTTCGGAGAATATTAGTCTGTCCCTGATGTTTTTCTTGGAGAGAAGTGGGTTCTTTGCTGCCCTTCTTGACACCAGGCCATCCTCCAAAAGTCTTTGCCTCACTGTGTGTGCAGATGCGCTCACACGTGCCTGCTGCCATTCCTGAGCAAGCTCTGCACTGGTGGTGCCCCGATCCCGCAGCTGAATCAACTTTAGGAGATGGTCCTGGCGCTTGCTGGAATTTCTTGGGTGCCCTGAAGCCTTCTTCACAACAATTGAACCTCTCCTCTTGAAGTTCTTGATGATCCAATAAATTATTGATTTAGGTAAAATTTTACTAGCAGCATTATCCTTGTCTGTGAATCCCTTTTTGTGCAAAGCAATGATAACTGCACATGTTTTCTTGCAGGTAACCATAGTTAACAGAGGAAGAACAATGATTTCAAGCACCACCCTCCTTTTAAAGCTTCCAGTCTGTTATTCTAACTCAATCAGCATGACAGAGTGATCTCTAGCCTTGTGCTCATCAACATTCTCACCTGTGTTAATGAGAGAATCACTGACATGATGTCAACAGGTCCTTTTGTGGCAAGGCTGAAATGCAGTGGAAATGTTTTTGGGATTAAGTTAATTTTAATGGCGAAGAGGGACTTTGCAATTAATTGCAATTCATCTGATCACTCTTCATAACATTCTGGAGTATATGCAAATTCCATCATAAAAACTGAGGCAGCAGACTTTGTGAAAATTAATATTTGTTTCATTCTCAACAATTTGGCCTTGGCTGCCCTGACCAAATGACACTTGCTTGCATTGATAGACAACTTTAAACAGAGCAGCCACACCTCCGCCTCTCCTAACAGTCCTGCAGACACTCATGAAAGTAAAGTTAGGAGGGGCTGTTTCATTGAGGACTGTTGCACTTGCAGCTGTCTTCTAGCCATGTTTTGTTTAGAAATATAAAATCCAGGTTGTTTGTGGTTATTAAGTAATTGATTAGAAATTATTTATTTTTTAGTGAGCGAATGTTTAAAAATGCTAACTTGATGGCATTGCTTTTTGTCTCAACAGCAATCTTTGTTTGATGCATAATAGGCCGCAGATTAGATGGGTCAGCCATACGGCATGAGAAGGCCTTAGACTTTCTATCACGTGATAAAACAGAAATAGAGAAAGCTACAGGCACACTGGCTTGTTCTGTAAACATTTGTGAATGTTGCTGCTATCATAGCAGGGACCTGACACATATCACTGAGAGCTGCTATCAGTTGTTTTTGGTTCACCTACAACAGATGGAGGAGGGTTTGGGCCCTGGCGTTGTGGCAGTGGCCGGAGAGCTCTCAGAGGAGGAGGAGGGCGAGCTGGCCCCACAGGCTTTGGTGGTTGTGGGGCCCGCCGTTTTTTAGTTGATATCTGGGGGCTTGCAGCAAAAGAGTGGAGTGGGAGAGTCCCAGCATAAACCAGTTCCTCCATTTTCTGTGAGAAGCTTAGAAGTGGAGATGCTGGAGAGAGGGATAATGTGTCTGGTGAGCGGGGCTCTGGCTCTGCTGTTTCTGGTGGCTGAAATATGTTGCCCTGGCTTCCCTGGCTGTTTTCCAGAAAGTCGTCCTTGGCTGCTGAGTCTTGGAGCTGTTCTGATACGTCACAGTCTGTCTGTGATGAGCTCTGTGGGCAGGGCTCAGCCGTGATGTGCATGAGCAGTGGTTGTTTTGGCTGCGTGGTATTATCAGTGTCCTTGTGGGATGTCTCAACCACATTATGACTCGGAAGCTGATATTAAGTCCTATGGTAATTCATAATCTGTCCAGGTGTGTGTGTGCCATTCAGGTTGAGTGGTTTGGCACACACTACTGAAGGATGATGGAGGGAGAAGTAGATATTGTCCTTTAGCACTCTTGCACCAAGTTTGTTTAGGTGGAGGCCATCCAGTTTAAACAGTTGTCTATGGCCCCAGAAAAGATTGAAGTTATCGATGAAATTGACTCCTTTTAAGCTGCAGATTCTTTGTAGCCATGTGTTCAGCCCAAGCAAACGTGAAAACATATTAGTTCCTCTTGCTGGGAGTGGCCCACTGATGAACGACTGAAATTTAAGTCTTCGAAGTGTTTCAAAGAGTTCACTGAAGTCCTTCTTAAGGAGTTCTGACTGCTCTTTCC